AAATTCTTTGTTTAAATAAATTACCAAAATTATTTTTTATTTTTATTTAATATTCCACATCATCCTTCTGTTAATATTAAACTATTCTACGTCATCCAATTGTTACAAGATTAATGATTGAGTGAATAAAATAATTCAATATGTAAACTTTAGTGAATAAATTAGAAAAGTTGAAAGTTGAATGAGTAAAATAGAAGAAAAAGTAAAGTTAAATGAGAAACAGTGTAGTTTACCCTAAATTATATTCATTCTAAAATATTCTACCCGCTTGGTTTACCAATTTTCCAAGTCGTGAGACCCACTTGTCTTTTCGGCTTGAATTGAGTGTTGAGATGTCATTTAATAGCAGACAAAAGCAGTAGTGCAGTTTTATGAATGCTATAGCAACCAATCCATTATAACTTGAGACCACAGGGTGGTTAATAAACGGCTGGGACTGAATATTAGATAAGGGCCTGCGAAAAGCAAAGCAGACTGCATTCATTTATGGGTTTGCCAAAGGCTTACGTTTTCTTTTCTGTCAAACCGATCTGGTTGAGGGCCAAATAATTTGGACAGATAAATGCTACTATTACGGGTAATTTATATTAAAAACCTTAAAGAAATAATTATTTAAAGAAATAATACCTTTCAAGAATTATTTAGAAGAATAACCTCTAAATCGTCCACATAACAATCTTGCGACAGTAAATAACTTGTTAAATCCTCACACATTCCAACATGCGAGATACGTTCGATGTGGGAGGACTTTCCAGGTAAGCCAATAAAATAATTGGATAAGATGATCTCACGTATTGCGAAGTGCGAGGTGGCCTAAGAACCGAAATATCACGAGATTTATGAGAGATCTCGAGGCCTGCAATGCACGAGGATCTTTCAAATTGAAATTAATAATAAATATAATAATAATAGTTAATAATATTACTTATTAAATATAATTAATAATATTATAATTATAATATATTTTAAAATTTATTAGATAAAAGTTGGTATTAATTTTTTGAAAATTATAATCTCGCGCCTTGCAAACCACGAGGTATTAGAAACGATTTTTTTTTTTTGCGTTTTTCAACATAAATTGCATCTTGCAAGACGCGAGATATTTAAAAGTGTGTTTCCCTGGGTACGAGAAGGCCTATAAATACGGTCCTCCATTCCTAATCATCATCACACCCATTGTTTTCTTATCATCTAGATTGTCAAATTATTTTTTAATATATTCAAAGATTTCATATTATAGCGGCGAATTTATTAAAACATTATCGAAGTTACGTATTCGATTATTGGAGGAGAAATGATGAGATAAATTAATTAATATTATTTTGTATTTTATTATTTGTTTAGTTTATTTGTTTTGGTATTTAAATAATTTTTAATATTTATTTTGTTGGGATATGAACGTGTATTGGAGTGTCATAAAAATCGTGTGACAACACCTAATGCAGATATTATTGACTATTTACATTTAGCAGGTTTTAGATATATCTGTAGTATAACTGGTGACGGTGTGAAGTTGCATCCTCTACTTATAAATGTGTTGGTGGAAAAATGGAGGCCGGAGACGCACGCATTTCATTTACCGTGTGGGGAGGCAACTATTACCCTATAAAATGTTGTATTTCATATGAGATTGTCTATTCATGGAGTAACAATTATTAGTGTTGTCGACGCCTCTAGAAACGTATGTGAGCCATTGCTCGGAATTGTTCCACCTGCTAATGCATGCGATGGTGGAAAAATAAAAATAAAAATTAAATATTTAAGTATTGCTCCTAATAACAAGTGTTGGAAAAAAAATTTAAGGGTAGCTTCTTCATAACAAGAATCAAAAGAAATGAGTCTCTAATATTCCCTTTGTCTAGGGGTGTTCGAAATCGGGTATATGCACTTTTGGGTACCTTAAGTATAGGGTATTCGATTCTTTGAGTAGTATATTTTTCGGCCCATGATCCGATCCGTTAAGTCAGAGTATCCGTATTTTCGGGTCACGAGTACCCGTTTCATCAATTTTTTTAAATTCACATAGGAAATATATAAAAATTTAAAAGTTCATAATATACCAACCATAAATAAAATTAGTGATTTGAAGTTAATTTCAAAGATATATATACTAATGTTTATTTCTAAAACAAGACATTAAAAATATTAAAATCAATCATGATTTTTTTCTTTCAAATCCCAATTGAAAAATTAATAAAAAAAATCAAAAATTAAAAGTACACAATACAAACTTAAAAAAATAGAGATTTAAATTTAATTTTAAGATTAAAGTACTAAGGAACATAAAATTAAAATATAATTTAAACTATATATATATATTAAAACTACAGGGTCGAGTACCCAATTATAAAAAATTTCAGTCCATACCCAACCCAACTACCCAGGAAAAATCACGGGTCAGGTACCCGACCCAGTCGAGTATTTTTTTTAAATTACCTGTTTTTTAGGTTCATGTCAATGGGTGGAGGGACCGGATCAATCGGGTCGAGTATTTGTTAACATTCCTACCTCTGTCCCATTAAATATGTCTATTATTCACTTGTTTTGATCATTTATTTTAAACTTTGACTCATTATTATTTAAAATTTACTATTGATAAAATATGAAAAAATATTTTAAAAACTTTCAATCAAGTAGTTTTTTTTATAAATTTTATTTGTTTAAATATTTAAAACAATCATGCTCAAAGTTTAAAAATTTTGATTTTTAAAAAGTCCATAAGAGACAATTTAGTGGGACGGAAGGAGTAATAAATATTAAAAAAAGTAAATTTTAAGAATATGCTCGTAATATCAAATATTGAAAAGAAAAAAATTTAACCTCTAATAAAAAATATTGAAAAATTAGACTCATAATAACAATATATATTAGAAAATAAATTAAATTTTAAAAAGTAAATCCCTAACAACAAATATTAAAAAAATAGGCCCCTAATAACAAGTATTTAAAAAATTAGGCATTTAATAGCAAATGTTAAAAAATATTTATAAAAATTGGAAACTTATTAAATATTATAAAAAAATAAATTATAAGAGTAGACCCCTAATAATAAATATTAAAGAACAAAATGAGCCCATAATAATAAATATTAGAAAAAATTAAACTCTTAATAAAAAGTACTAAAAAATAATTGGACCTTGTAATTGATATAATATCATATTTTACAAGTATAGTGATTTATAAATATTTTGGGCTTTGGGTAGGTGTCCCTCTTGCCCATGCCTAAATATAGTCATGGTAGGCAGCTTGATATTGTTTAAGTAAGTTTTGAGTTCGAGTTGTTGTGTATGTAGAAAAGTTCTATTGAGAGACACACCCATCAAAATCAGGTATATAACGCGAATCAATCCGAATTTATTAATATAAAATCTTAGAATCGAAAGAGAAATAAAAAAATATCGTTGTTAGCAATAAAAAATAAACGACATCTAACATTAATATAAGAATGATTATAACAATTGTGACACATTAACAAAACCTAATTATGACATGTTTTTTATGATCATGAGCTTCTATCATTATAAAAGAACTAGACTAAAGATCCAAAACAACATCAACGAAAAAGATCAATTCATATCCAACTTTGAAAAAGGAAAGAAATACATTACAATAACAAAGAAAACAAGATACAACCAATAAGGTTAGTTTTAGTGGTGAATAATTTGATATCGTTTAAGTATGTTTCAAGTTAGAGTATTTGTGTATGCTAAAATTCTTATTGTGAGACTTACCCATCAAAACTAGGTGTGTGTGACACATGTTAATCTGAATTAGTTATGATGAAGTATTAGAACTGAGAGGACAAAAAAAATACACTACTAAAAAACATTTACTATTTTTGTTAAAAAATAGAAATATTTATTAAAATAAATGACACGAAATCTCAGATAATACAAAAATTTAAGCAAATGAAAAAGAGAAAATAACAAGAGTTCTATCATAATTTAGGAAAGTTTAGCCACCGTATCAATCTAATGAACTTGAAATGAATTGAACTTTAAAACAAAGGACCAAGATGAAATTTACCCATGATTACTATCATACTGCTCGTTTGAAGTATACATAGAATGCTACATAGATTATGCTGACGTCAAGTTTAAATAAGGTATACCCTACTTGTAAGACATGTTTTTATATGAATAGCCCCACCTTCCAAATAGAATAATAAATATAAATAAACCAAAAAGTACGTTTATTAACTAAGGTGTCCCATAGGTTCCCATTGAACGTTTCAACCGTGCCTACGTTGCTAGTAGCGAGGACTTAGAAAATTTAAATATAATATTATTTTTTTTAAAAAAAAACAATGAATAATACTCTTTTAAATAAATACTAGTATTATTTTTAAATATAAACTTTTGAAGATAATATCTTAAAATGGATAAAATAGTAGCAATGCTTTATAATTTCAAGACTAAATTGATAATTTACTCAAATATTAATGCTTTGGGGGCAGTACTTGCAGGGTGCAATCATGGTGGGGGTGAAGTACCTCATGCTCATGTATGCAAAGGCAGTTGCTACAGCTGATCTATATTGAAATTTACTATGGTGTTGTCTCCGACCAAAATCATTAAAATTTTGCTATTGCCTACTTCATATATATTAATCATTCCAACTTCTCTCTTTCACTGTAATAGTCGTTATTTTTATTGTTTTCATATATGGAATTAATTTATTACATCGATAGTAATAATATACACGACGATATTTATTTAAAAAAAACATTCATTTTCACTATTTTTCGGTTAAGCTCAGCTGTGCGTTGTATCGAAAAGCAACCAACACTTGTGCCCCATAGCTGTGAAACATCAGCATGACAACTTGCGCCTTTTACTTTCGCCACCCTATTAAACCCCTCTTTCTTTTGCTGTCTCCCCCTTCTGTCTTGTCTTTAATTCCTCTAACGTTGCCTATGTGCATCTCGCCTATTTATACATGTATTTTGGACAGCCTTTTCCAAAGAGACAAAGATTCTAGCTAGGTACATCTTGTTTTGTTTTTGAGTAATGTCTCCAGCAGGGTCTACTAGGTGGTGTCCAACACCACAGCAGCTTATGATGTTGCAAGAGATGTATAGGAGTGGGATCAGAACCCCAAATGCCTCTCAAATCCAACACATCACTTCTCAGCTCTCCTCGTATGGCAGGATCGAAGGCAAGAATGTGTTTTATTGGTTCCAAAACCATAAGGCAAGAGACAGACAAAAGCTTAGAAAGAAACTTGCCTGCAGGCAATCACAACATCCATACCATCTTTATCATCATCGTCATCTTCTTCACTACTTGGATTCTCCTGCTGCAACATCCCCTGCTTTTCCACATCTTTTCCCTCAGGTAACCAAAAAGAAAAAAAAAGGGGAAATGTATTCGTTTTGTACGATAAACTAACCTCCAATAATAAGTTTTGTAATTGTTTCATAAAAAAATATTTGGGTTCCTTAGGATAAAAAAATACTAGTATCCAAAGTTCAAATGTGTATGTATGCATGCATGTGCTTGATTTTGTAGCTTTTAATTTTAGTATTGATGGTCCCCATAGTTTCGGGACCTTCTTCCCCGCTGCTTATTCTTTAGTGTGGTCAATTTGCGGCTTTTATTCATTTATAATTCTTCTTTTTTGTCGTTTGCAGGCAGGGATTCACGATGAAGCAGCAAATCAAGTGATGAACTATCCCTGGAAATTTTGTATCCCAGATAGAATGGACAAGAATAAGGGCATTATGAGAATGTACGGCGGTGATTGGTTGATGATGGTTGATGCGGCTCCTCCTTTATCATCACCACCACCACCCCCGCCGCCGCCATGCTACTCCTTGATCTCCAGGCCACCCCTTAAAACCCTTGAACTTTTCCCGCTCACTGCTTCAAATCTCAAGGAAGAGTGCAACGAGAACGTCCACAACAGCACCGACTCTTCGAGTTCACTTTCTTCATTTTCTTGTAACATCGAACCGGCTAAAATAACCCTAAGCCTCCCTTAATCTCACCCTCCAAATAAATCAATAACCCTGCGTCCTGGGTTCTAACCAGGTTCTAGCATTTTTCTTTTTTTAGATGAAATGTCGGTTAATTTGTTTGTTTTATTGTTTAATGCATGTGTTGTAAGTTTTAGGCTGTTGGAACGACAAAAGATCTAAGATATCTGGGAGTAAAGTTACAGAGAGTACTGCTCCTTTCTTACTGTTATATATTACTATTACTTATGTGTTATGACCTATTAATAATAGCACTGTGTATTTTGTCCATTTTCTGGTTCCAATTCCAAATAATTATCAGAATTCCAGAAAAAAAATGTGTTTGTTTCAACGTTTCTTTACATTGTTTTCCTACTCTCTGTTTCAGCCTGTTTTTCATGCTTATATCTTAAAGCTGGCGTACATGAGATCAAAACGGATATATATTTAATATACGGCTAAAGAAAGATATTATAAGAAATATTAATATTTTTTAATATTTCAGGTAAAATGTTACTTAAAATATTTTTTTTATACCGAAAATATTAATATTGGGCACTACCTAAAATATTTAGTATTTCTGGTAAAGCGTTATATAAAACATTATTTTTTTTATAGAAATGTTAATATTGGACGCTACCTAAAATGTTATTTTTTCTATTGTAAATTGGATAGAAAAATTAACATTTTCAATTAAAAAAATAATGTTTTAGGTAGTGTTTTACAGGAAATGTTAAAAAATATTAACATTTCCAACAGAATCTTTCCTTAGTCATATATTAAGGTTGTCATATAACAGAATTATCCAATCAAAACATAATATTAAACCGCGGGTTCTATTTTGATAATGAGTGACATATTCATAAATTTAAGAATAACAAAAATATAATATCAACGAGTGACATATTCATAAATTTATGTATAAAGTTCTAAAATTTTAATTTTCTTTCTTTAAAAATATTAGGTATATATACTTTTTTTTATTTTTACTTTAATACAACAAATTAAATTTAATTATTTTTTAAAAATAATAAGATACACTTGATCCGTACTAGATTAGTGCATCCACCCTTATATCAGAGCTCGATGGACATGCAATTTTTAACTATACTTGGAGCGCATGTATATTGCAGGTTGAAATCGGATAAAAGATTAAACCTATTAAATTTAAATCTATTTAGTATTTGGTAAGAAATAAAATAGGAAAATATAATGAAAAGAATGTGAGGAAAAAAAAAGAGAAAGTACGTGAGGACGTTACAATAATAGCGAAAGGTTGAGAGGGGGTAGTATCACACGTTTGACAATCAAATATACGGTTAATGAAAGGCGTTATTAAAAATTTATTATTTTTTAATATTTTCAGTAAAAATGATTTAAAACATTATTATTTCTACCAGAAATGTTATTATTGAGCGCTTTATCGGGTTTGTTAACATATCTGATAAAACGCTACTTAAATTATTATTTTTTCTACTGAAAATGTTAATATTTGACAATTTATCAAAAATATTAAAAAATATTAATATTTTAAATAATTTTTTACTAAAAATATTAAAAAATAATAATATTTATGTTAACACTTTTCTTTAATCTTATATTAAAACTGCCGTACAACAGAATTTCCCAAGGTTGAGAAGAGCATAACAGAGTAACAGACTAATGGAATATTTCCGCTTTTAGGGAGAAAAGAAATAGCTTCAGCCTATATAATTTAATTACCATGTAACAACCAACAGGTATAAGAAATATTAATTTAATGTAAATAACAGATTTTAAAAATGTCCCTCGCCAACATTGCATTAAAATCTTATGCCAAACTTTATAGATTTCAACAGTACTTTTATTTTCTTTAAAAATAATAAAAAATATATTGATATTTTTTTTGATAGAAAGTCAATAAATTAATGAAAATAGAAAAAAAATCTAAAATTACAATCGTAAACTTAAAATATAAGTATGACACTTTCCTATTATCATTGATACAAAAACTAGCCACCTAGATCACATAAGGACCAAAAAAAAGAAAATGTTAAAAATCCTAACCAAAAACTAGAATAAAATAAAGATACGAACAAAATTGATTGCATCGATAAACGAACCATAAAAGGGGATGAAACTACTGAAAGAACACCGACAAATCACAAATCATAGATGTGAGAAAACTATCCACGAATACAAAACGCGTATCCAAATCAATTTAATGGTCCAAAGTAGAGAAGATCATCATGATAACAAATAAGCGCCATCTTGATCAGTCGTGACGATGTCAAATCAAACACTGAGCAAAACGATAAACAAAAACAACGAACAAATAATAGTTAGCTATCAAAATGCAGAGAAAAACATAACACAAAGACAGAGATAAACGTGCTATAAAGACATAGAACATATCACAAAGACATAATTATTCTTATTAAAAAACTAAAAAAACAAATAAAAAAATAACCAACGGGCAGCATGTAACACATATAACCCATATACATCTCATAATACGAACTAAATATGTCACATCAACTTAACAGACATTTATTGAACATATATGCTTAAAATTTTGTTGCGGTTTAAAATACTCTTTTCTTACGATTCAAAAATTGTAATTTCTTTAGCATGCATAGTCATAATATAATAATTTATTGTTCTAATCAAGGCTGATTTTTATGCAGCAATTAGACAGTTCCATGTTGTTTCATATCTATATATCTACCTAATATTGCTTGATTTAAAACTTAAAAAATGTTTGTAATATTCATTCATAAATACGATTATAGCTCAAATTATCCAAAATTAAAACAATCCAAAATTAATATTACAGACCATTTATAAAATAAATATGATAAAGCAACCCAACGATTATAATGTACATGTCAATAATAAATCAAAGTTAAGATATCTTATTGATACTGTCGGTAGGTTTGATTCTCATAAGATGCTGACAAGCTTCTCACTTCACGTCCTCTACTGTATTCGAACCTACGCATGAAAACATCATGCTCTAAGTAAAACTTAGTGAAACAACTACATAACTAAAATGATATAAAATATAAATTTCATAAAGTATTATAACATGAAATTGTAATTTAAATAAAAACATTAAAACTTTTGAACCGAGCTGATCAAACTGATTTTCCCTTGAAACCTGAAAATCATATTCTCATGATTTCATCAAAAATCATGTAAATCAATATCAAATAACATAAACAATTCATATCCTAGTCATTTGTACATATTTCAGAACTTTTCATTTCATTTTCATATTTTGTATGATAAAATAATAATATCATAATTTCTCTTAATTGAAATTTCAATAATAACTTCCATGTTTATTTTCATAGCCTAATGCATATTTATGATAATATAAGGTACATGAGAAGAACTGAAAGACGCGCACTAGGTACTTCAGTGCTAATCATAACTGAAACATATAATGCACTTCAGTGCAATCATCATTAACACCCCAACCCGTACCTTACCCGGATACGAGCCCGAGATGTCACATTGACTTTTTAAAACAATATTCTTACAAAATAACAAAACGTTTGAACTTATATTAAGAAAATACGATAATATATCGTTGAATTATGTCAGTTATAACAAATTTAAGGAAAAATATGTTTTTATGAACAATAGTATATGGTATGAACAATATTGTGAATAGTAATGAACATTACCATGAACAGTACCGAATGCTAAAAATTTACAGAATGCTACAGGGGTATCGATACCCTGCTATAGTGTACCGATACCCTTGCTACAGTAATTTCGATCAACTTATTTAAAACTTATAAAAATTTAACCTTTGATCACTATAAAGTTATCATTTATATATATACGCTTAAAACATTACAAAATTCAATCATATGATTTTACAAAACCAATTAAAACATATTAGATTCAAACCTTTATTTACATGTCAACCACTATAAGTATTACAAAATACATACTATTAAATTCTTTTCTGATATGATATTTAGAAAGGAGAAACTTGCATGTCTTGCATAACTTTTATCATTCTTCCTCTTCTCGGAACCTACGTGGGAAACAATCACACGCTAAGTCGTTGACTTAGTGAGGCATATAAAACATATAATAAAAATCATAGAACATTTCACATAACAAAATGCATACATGTACATATACCATCATTATCACTATCTCATTTATCATATGATCTTATACTTATCATTTTTGTGTATCATATAACATATATAATTTCACAAAGACACATATAACATCTTATAATTCATATGAAACATTTCATACCACCAAAAGCATATACATAACATATATTGTACTTGTTATTATCTCTTTATTAGCCCATGTACATTACTGAGAACTTAAGGTATTCGAGTACATTGAGGTTGTGTACTATTGCTGTCACCACAACTCGTATGGGGTCTCACTAGGGGTATGTGAAATTTGTCCCGAAGGACATATCTATTTGTCCCGAAGGACCTCTGTATACTGTATATGTCCCGAAGGACTGTGTAGAACCTCGTCTCTTGGCATGCCAACTATACCTATAGCTCTTGTATCATATAACATGGGCATTTTTTTCTTTTAACATATTCATATAAGTTCATAGCTTCATTCACATATACCTGTAATCATGTAGTTTCTTTTCACATAGTTCATGTCAATTCTCATATTACATGTACCTTTTTCTTATATATCTCATATCATATAATTCATGCTCTATCCTCTTATCTTCACATGACATATAATGCATACAAATCATACTCACACATGCCTTTACTCATGAATTCATACATCATACAAATCATGTCATCTCTTGTTCTCATATGTTTCTCATACATCACATATATCACTTTTATTACATTAAAAGATAGACATGTAGTCTTATGTGCCCTATCAATACTATCTGTTCATATAATCTCCTATTACCTTATAAGTAAATACTACTTATTTTATCTCACCTTTCCCCTTTATTCTCTTAATTATTTATATCAATTCACATAGTTTATTACCCAACTTATATCACCTTTTCATGTATTACGTATATCTTATATTATAATTTCATATATAATAACATACACCCAATTTCATGTACTCATGCACACATAAGAATCACAAATCAAATAACATTTTAGGAGTCACTTCTTACCATAGTAACTCCGTCACTGGCTCATCGCAAGCCAATGTTTATTCGATAACATAAGTACAATTAAATTTGCACTCACCTTATCCTCACTTAATTCCCAATCCACGTTTATGATTATAATCTCTTTGGATCAATCCTAACTTGACGGTTGTTCCAGAACTTGCTCACGTTCAATGTCTACATAACCATACATTTTAAGGTATTTATTAGATATCTACATCTTGTAATTTGATACTAATAGCTTAAACGAATTTAATGAATCAATATTCAATTTTTCCTTTAAGGGGTATCGATATACTCCTTAAGGTATCGGTACCCTTATTCCATTTTGTGATTTTTCGTTCAAGAGGGTATCGGTACCTATTGAGTGGGTACCGATACTCTTTGCCCAGAAATCACATTTTAAGCACGAAAATTCACTCTTTTCAGCTTCAACACTTCATGTTTCCTCCCCTTTCATGTTCTTAACTTACATATACATGCTTAAACTCATTTATATCCATTTATCTCATCTTTAACTTTAATATCCTCTCCTCTTTATGAGCTTCAAGAATCATACCCAATTTTTTTAACATGTTTTAAATCCAATTCTAATACTCCATATTCCTTAATTGGGTTGATGACAAGTCAAATTTAATTTCAAATTCAACTTATCAACTCTTTTCCAGAAATTCACTTAAAACTCATTCTCTTTAATCTTTCATAACTTCTTAATCTTTTGATTTTAAGACAACTTAAGCTTAAGTATCACCTAAGGATCAAAACCCACTCTTAAAATCAACAAATAATCAATTAACCATAAAACTTACCTTTGCTTGAGGATGCTTCACGATGGAGAAGAAGGAAGCAAGAAGAAGAAGATAACTCTCTTCCCCCCCACGTGATTCATTCATATAAAGGGGAAAAGTATCTTTCTTGTCAAATAACAATTTTTCCCTTTAATTCATTTGATAATTACTAACAACTTTCAGGAAATATTTCCAAATAAATCATTAAACTATTCAATTATTCTACTTTAATCACCAGATTCTGAAACTTACAATTTAGTTACTAACCCAGTATTGAGGATGTTACACATCACATGAGCACCAACGGTGCAGATAATTGAAAAATAATAAGTACTCGCTTAATGGCATGCCAATTGTACCTACGACCCTTAATGCAACATACAATGAGCTTTTAGATTATCTCTTGTTCGTTTCATAATCAATATTTCAATTCAGAATCATTTTCCAATCATTCCCATAAAAATCATAATTTGTGCAATTCTTACCCTAAACATTCATAAGACATATATAAATATTATGAAAATAATAATCCACGCTTAAGATAGAAAACACACTTTAAGTAATGCGAGATTGACTTATCACAAGTTGTCCTCAATCAAAATAGCTAAATAAGTAAATTGCATTCACTTTGACACTTGATTAATAAATCAAAATATAAGTCTCACCAAGCTTTAGAATTAATCATTTGTTCTCAAATGTTTCAATTATCCAATTTTATCAAAATTTCATACTCTGACAGTTTGCACTACATTCAAAGAAATATTATTCATTATTAATCTACATACTTAAAAATTATTTTGTTAATACCACTAAAACTAGACTCAAATAAGAATCTAGCCATATAAAGAAACTTATTCTATTTCAATTTGTACAATTTATAACCGATTTTCAAAGCTGGCTAACAGAAGCTGTTTTGAGTAGAATCTGATGCCTTGTTTTCTGACCTATTATTGATTAAAAATTCATATATTTTTGTATATATCTCGAAATCATTAGCCGTTTGTTTTAACAAAACTAGACTGATATAAGAATCCAACGGTATAAAATTAATCATCTAATAATATCTATATAATTTATGGTGAATTTATAAACTTACTGTTCGAATCATGAATTTTTTAGACAACTTTCCTTAATTCTTTTCTTTAATTATACAAGCTTAATAAATGAACATATAGGCTAGAATCACAATTCATATAACATTAGGAATCACTTTTTATCGTAGTAATTCTAACACTGGCTCATCGCAAGCCAATGTTTGTTCGATAACATAAATACAAATTAAATGCACTCACTTTTACCTTGCTATTGAACCTTCTCCATGATAACCTTCTCGATCTCAAACTTTTTCCTTCCCTTTCGAGCTACTTGAATCACTAGATTTACCGTGGTCTAACGACGCCATATAATAACATAGAATGTTCATACTACATGTTAGTATCGAACTAACATAATCTAAGCGTAATAATAAAATTCGATGGAAATAAAATTGATACTTAAAACATTATAAAACTAAATCCTACTTCCATAGTAATTTTAAACTTCTCAAAATATTTCCTTAAATTCCATAAGTATTTATTTCCATTATCAACTCTTCAACTTTTTCCAAATACAAAATCAAGCCACTAATTATGAATTCTTTCTAGAATCCGCCTTAACTTTTCCATTAAATTCATAATAATCCCTCACCATTTAGATCATTGCACTTTAATTTCTAAAATTTCCAGTACCTTATCAAAATTCCTAAATCAATACTTGAACATTAAAAAACTTGCAATTTTTTCATAAACTTTCTTAGACTTTTTGAATTCGACTATCCATCTTTAAAAACTTAAAATTTGATCCCAACTCAATAGATGAACTTAAAAGTCAGCATGTCCATAAAATTTCCAGTATTATAATATTTTACCCAAGTGATACCTCACATTTAATTAACTTTAAATCAAGTCCCTATAATATTGAGACCTTTCGAATTCTACTCTTAAACTTTACCAAACTTACAATTTGGTTCCAATCAACTTTCTAACTTAAATTTACAACATTTCAAATATTAAAAATCAGCATTGAACCCTTCAAATATCTCATTCTTGCAATAATGCCACAATTTTCAAAACTTGTATATTAACCCTTTTTCTTATTCAAGCTTCCAAATTGGTCCAAATTGATCTCCAAGCCACATGAAACACTTCTAATATCAATACAATACCATAAGAATTATTTCAACATTTTCCCTTAAATTTCCCTAATGACCGAATACCCTAAGTGAATTAGGGCTTGATTTCCATTCAATTTCAAGCATGAATTTAACCTCCTAACATTAAATTCATGCATTTCCAATCATCCTAACATCAAATTAAATCAAAATTCATTCAATCTCCACAAACCCTAATTTGGTCAAGCCTAACATAAGGCTTTACACACGATTTTAATCATCATACATGCTTTAGGATTAATCACTAAAATCAAAAACATAAAAATCATTCATTAACTCTTCAAAATCCATAAACCCTTCAAAATCCATAAACCCTAACTTTCAATCTCAACATATAGTCATCATCACTATGAAATATTGGTACCAAATGATAGAAAATTTCATGTAGGTTAAATAGATGAATTTATGTTGTAACGAGTGATTTCTACGTGTTGGGACTGAATTGGAATGTATGGGTATGGGTTTTGATTTCAACAGTAGCGTCATTTTCCTTGGGAAGGAGGGGTTGGCACCTAACCACGGATTAATTTGGGATATTGTTATAACTTTAATAAAAATAAATATAAGTTAAATTATTACATTTATAAAAATCATTTTTATAAATACTTTTTTAAATTTATGTTATGTAATAATTCTATAATTATTATTTTTACTAAAATAACTAGATTTTAGATTTATTTAAATATTTATTCCTCTTTTGAAAGGTTATTGGTTTGAACTTTCAACTTCTTACATGAATTTTACAATTTCGTCATTCTTTCATCTTTAATAACATGTCTAAAATTTTTATAGAATAATATATTATTATCTAATTAGATGATATTAATTTATTAAAAATATAAATAGTATTTTTTTAATTCTAATAAAAGTACTCTTAAATAAATAATAATTTCAATAGTACATTGGAAGAATTATTTGTTTATAATTATTTTCCGGTGTGTTATATGCGCAGTTAGATTTTATTTTATTTTTAGATAAAAATAAACTGTACTTTTGAAAAGAAGCTAATATGACCTCATATTATTTTTTTCATTCAATATGACACTCCAACTTAAAAAATAAACTCAATATGACACTTTGACCAACGTTTTTCATCGTTGACGTTACATTACTGACGTGGTAGTTTACGATGTTGATGTGATATTCTACGGTGTTGACATGACAATCCACGGTGGTAAATTAATATGGCGGATGACATGACAAATAGGATAAATTGGTAATTCAAACATGATAGATGGATTGCCATTTCAGCACCGTGGGCTGTTACGTCAACATCGTAAACTGTCACTTCAGCACCGTGAACTACCACACCAACACCGTAACGATCAACGACAGAAAATGTTGGTGCAAGAACCATATTGAGTTAGTTTTTTGAGCTGGAGGGTCACATTAAAAGAAAAGATAATACGATACCCAAATTAAATTTTCTTCAAAAGAACATGGACCTCTAATGCCGTTTTACTTTTTTTTTTTTTTTGGGTAGATCTCATACTGCTGTTTATTGGACCGGAACAGATAAAAGGAAGTGGAATAAGAAACAATCGGAATAAAACGATGTCGAAGAGGTAAGTACCGCCAAAAGGGGAACATATCCAACGGCCGGAAACTTCCTAAACCATGGAGCAATCTCTTCTGTCTTCCTTCCGTGCGAACTCAACTCAACTCACTGAGTCGAGTACAGTCGAGTACAGTCGAGTCATCCTCTTTCCTTTCCACTCTCTTCCTCTCCTACTTTCTTTCTCTACCTCTTCGACCTTCTGTCCTTTTTCGTCTTTTCACCTCTAGTCCCCATCCGACGTCTCCCATTTCTCCACGTCACCACCGTCTTCTTCACCCTCCCTTCCCTTCCTCGGTCTCTTTCTATTTTATTTTAACTCTCTAGGGTTTCTCAGATTTAATCCAATTCTATGTCCTTTCTCCGCTCCTTAATTTTCTTCGATCAGAAAAAAACGAAGAAATTTCCAAATCCTCAATTCGTCGGCTCTGTCAATCTCCTCACCAGATATTCTTCATACCCAGGTATTTTCTTTCCCCAATTCAATTTCATTTTTTTATATTTTGTTTTATTTGTTTTTATTTAAAGTTTTGAGAATTTCTTTTATTTACTTGTTTCTGTTAGGTATTTGATGAATTGGCGCTACATTACGAAAAGTTGAAAATATTTTTTTATAAACATTTGGTTGAATTGAGGATTGGATTTTTGTTTGTTTATGAGGGGTTTTATATTATGATGGCTATTGAGAAGAATAACTTCAAGGTTTCACGGGTTGATTCGGAGTTTTCGCCTGGTAGTAGAGAGACAACTGTGTCAAGTGATGAGGATGAGCTTCAACGTCAAAGCTCAGTTGTTGTTTCTGATGGAGATGATGATGGTGGTGGATTCGATGATGCTGATTCAGGGACAGATTCGGACGACTATGATTTACTGGAATTAGGTGAAACAGGGGCTGAATTTTACCAAGTTGGGAACTGGTCTTGTTCTGTTCCTTATGAGTTGTACGACCTTCCTGGATTGGAAGATATTTTATCTCTTGATGTGTGGAATGAGTGTTTAAGCGATGAGGAAAGATTTAGTCTTACTAAGTTATTACCCGACATGGATCAGGATACATATATGTGGACATTGAATGACCTTCTTAAGGGTTATAATTTTCATTTTGGAAGCCCTATTAAGAAGTTATTTGATATGTTCAAAGGAGGGTTGTGTGAACCAAGGGTTGCACTTTATCGAGAGGGCTTGAATTTCTTTCAGAAGCGGCAGCATTACCATCATTTGAGGAAACATCAGAATACTATGGTTGTCAATCTTTGTCAAATAAGGGACGCTTGGGTTAACAAGTGTAGGGGATATAGTATTGAGGAGCGGCTTCGTGTTTTGAATATTATGAGAAGTCAAAAGAGTTTGATGCATGAGAAATTGGAAGACGATGATTCTGAATCCTCCAAAAGAGAGGATTTGGTTGATGGATTGTGGACCAAAACGGTTAAGGATCGGAAGGCTTCGCAGCAAATGGCTCGGTACTTTGACTCTGAGGTTGAACCGAATTTGGAATTCATTTCCCAAGGACAGCTGACGGCTTTGGAACCTTCAAAATATGGGAAGCTGAATCCAAAAGATAAACTCAGAACAGGTGGGTCAAAATTTCCTACTGCAAAAGAGTTCGGGAGCAGCGTTTACCCTGATTTGGATATGAATTCTGAGCCATATGATTTTCTGGGAACTCTTCCTCGACAGAAATATAAGTCGGGGGCAGTATACAGGCGAAGGGATTGGATGAGGTTGGATGATGAAGCTGAAGACCCGATGTTCGGAACAGGTATTCAACGAGACCGAAATGCTGTGCGTGACAGCATCATGGGAAAATCCGGTTCGTTGAGAGCAGGGGAAAAATATGACCGTTTAAGAGCTCAAGAATTAGCTAGTGATAGTTCCTTGGCTTTACCTTTTTCTTCAAAGCAGGAGTTTCAGGCCTATGGTAAGAACAGGAACAGGAATATGAGTCAATTGTTGGAGGAAAAAGTGTATACTTCAAACCCACCTAACACAAGAACAACCAGTGATTTTGCCAAGAAGGCCAAGTATGTGGATGCTTCACCTGTGACAGGACCATTAAAAGATGAAAAAATCTTCGGTAGAACTGGGAAGAAAGGAAAGAAGAGGACGGGGAAGGAGTATGTGGCACATGTTGATGGAAGGGGTGCAGATGGTAACCTGCAGTCTAAACTTCAGCAGCAAACTGATGATTCCCTTTTCTTAAAGAAGGGAAAACGGAAACTGGAGGTGTATACTGGTACTCTTGATATCGAAACTTCTGAAGCTCATGGTGCAGGAGTAGGAGCCTTAGATGTGGAGATGGAAGCCAAGCCACAAAAAAAGCCATTTACGTTGATTACCCCCACAGTTCATACCAGTTTCTCGTTCTCAATTGTGCATCTTCTTTCTGCAGTTCGCTTGGCAATGATTAGTCCACTTCCAGAAGTTTCCTTGGAGGTTAGCAAACCTAGAGAGGAGCAGAATGGACAGCAGGAAGGTGGTGTGAATGGGATTCATTCTCGTGAAAATGCAGTTAGCAATAATTTGGACCATCCGGTGCAAGCAAGTGTGCCTTCTCTAACAGTTCATGAGATTGTTAGTCGTGTGACAGTGAATCCTGGAGATCCATGTATCCTTGAGACGCAAGAACCGCTTCAAGATTTAGTTCGGGGCGTTCTGAAAATTTTCTCATCAAAAACAGCACCTTTGGGAGTAAAAGGTTGGAAGGCACTTGTTGCCTATGAAAAGTCCACAAAAAGTTGGTCTTGGGTTGGTCCTGTTGTGCATAGCTCAAATGATCATGAGACTATTGAGGAGGTGACATCACCTGAAGCCTGGGGTCTTCCCCACAAAATGCTGGTCAAGTTGGTTGATTCATTTGCAAATTGGCTAAAAAATGGTCAGGAGACTCTCCAACAAATAGGGAGTCTTCCTGCACCACCACTTGAATTGATGCAAGACAATTTAGATGAGAAAGAAAGGTTTAGAGATCTAAAAGCTCAGAAGAGCCTTAGCACCATTAGCCCGAGTTCTGAAGAAGTGAGAGCTTATTTCCGAAGGGAGGAGCTTCTTAGGTATTCTATTCCTGACAGAGCCTTCTTTTACACAGCTGTTGATGGCAAAAAATCAATCGTTGCTCCCTTGCGAAGGTGTGGAGGTAAGCCTACTTCAAAGGCTCGAGATCACTTTATGCTGAAACGTGACCGTCCACCACATGTTACTATTCTTTGTATTGTGAGAGATGCGGCTGCCAGATTGCCTGGAAGTATCGGCACTCGTGCGGATGTTTGTACTTTGATAAGAGACTCTCAATACATTGTTGAAGATGTCTCTGATGCACAAGTTAATCAGGTTGTTAGTGGGGCCTTAGACCGTTTGCATTATGAACGTGATCCTTGTGTACAATTCGATGGAGAGAGGAAATTGTGGGTTTATTTACATAGAGAAAGAGAAGAAGAAGATTTTGAGGATGATGGTACTTCATCTACGAAGAAATGGAAGAGGCAGAAAAAAGATACCATGGAACAAACTGATGAAGGAGCTGTAACCGTGGCTTTCCATACAACCGGGGATCAGTCAGGCGTAGAATTGGGCTCTGATCTTATTGCCGAACCTCTGTGCATTGATGGTGGTAAAAAGATGGAGACAGATTGTGACGATGGACAAAATATGGAGTTTAATGCTGACATTGATCACGGGTCTGAGCTAGGTAACAGTCAACATGGTCATCCTGAAAGCAATTTGTTACGTCAAGAAAATTCCACTAACGATGAATTTGATGACGAGGCATTTGGGAGAGAGAGGCGGGTCGGACTCCAGAGTGCAAGCTGATCATGATCAACATTTCAGGTAGTTCTCCAAAGTTGTATGAAATATTTATGGTGCAGAGATATATTAATTTTGGCTGGCTGCTTGAATTGTAAAGCTCCATAACCATTTTCTCCACTGTGATTTGTTATATTTATTATGAACATGTGTAATTATGAATTTTGTTGACACATGGTTTTCACATATCACAAGCCTGCAGTTCACCTTGTGACTAGGATGATGAAGGAATCTCTCGTACTTTATAATTGCAGCTTCAAATAGGAGATATCAATATGTTTGCATATTTTGTTTTGAGTGGTAGTGGCCGACCTGTTAGTTTCTGACATTTTTACTGGCTGAAGTCCAGAGATATCAATAGGAGATTTTTCATATTAACATTTTATCTCTTTGAGCTTTGCTCATGGAACGAGTTCGATCCCCATTTGCGCCACGCCACATCTCCAATTTGTTCTTCCAATATCTATAATCTTGATGGGACAAAGTTGTTAAGATTAATTTGGATGGATTAGGGATTGCATCGTATCTGAATCCGACGGGTTTCGATCCGAATCGCCCGGGTTGGATTTTTTTAAAAAAAGTTTCAAGGTTGGGTCAAATCGAGTTTTTTTAAAATTATGTTTGGGTTGGGTCGAGTTCGGGTTTAGGGTGAAAAATATCCGACCCAACCCAAAAAATTGTAATTTTACCTTATATATTTAGGGATGATTGTAATAATACTCCTATATATATATTATTTTCTTTCAATTAAATCTCTAATTTTATGGAATAAAAATAATATTTTTTAATAAATATATTATTTCGGGTCGGATTCATATTTTATCTCAAAAATTCGGATTGGGTGGAAGGGGTATATTTTTCGGGTAGGTGGAGGATTTAAAATGTTCAAGTCGAGTCGGATGGACTGAAAACCCGACCCATACCCACCCCTAGGATTGATCATGTTCTCGAGGGTAATGTTGCTATGGTGGCTAAGCCTCAGCGTGCAGCTGCTCGAGGAGGGACAGCGCCAGAATTCTAATTCAAGAGGGTAAGGTATACCTAACAATATAAAATGAGAGACAAAATCAAAATATACCATAATGGATGGGGCAAAATCAAAATAAATCAAAATTAAAAGGCCTAAATACATGTTTTTCTATATATATTTTTAATAATAAAAAAATTAGGGACAGTGGCCCCCAGCCATACACATAGCTCCGTCTCATCAGGTTAGTAAAAGGAAGTAGAAGATTAATGGTGGTGAGAGTAGGCTTCTTCATCATCCTCATGAAGCTGTTAGCATGGAATACTAAGGGATTTAATAATCCCCTAAAACAAAGTAATGTAATGACTTGGATTAAAAGGTTGCAGGTTGATTTTTGTATGCTTGAAATTAGGGAATAAGACTGCTATTTGGTTGAAGATTTTAATGATTGACAGGGTGTTTATAATTATGGGGAGGCTATTAATGGTAAGGTGTGAGTTATGCGGAAGGGTTCTGCTCATTTTAACTCGAAGGCTGTTTCAGATCGATCTATTACTAGCATTGTCAAGATTAGAACCGAGGAGTGTGTCTTGTCCGCTATCTACCCTTGTAATTTGGGTGTGGATAAGGCAAGGTTGTGGAATCATCTGGAGGACTTGCATAGGGATTATGATGATAAGCCTTGGATTTGTTTGGGGGATTTCAATGCCATTCTTCAACTTGAGGAGTCCTCCGACTATGGTGTGGTAATTTTGTTAATAACGACATGGCTGCTTTTCACGATTGTCTATCTTGTATTGGGATAGTGGGTCACTCTTGCTTTGGCCTTGTGTTGACTTGGTCTAATCATCAGGAAGTTTGCTCGTTAGTGAAGAAGCTTGACAGAGTTCTTGTCAACTCTTCAGCATTTTAGTCATTCGTATGTGGAGGTCCTTACTTCAGGGTATCTGATCATTGTCCTTTGCTGTTGGACCTTCATGGAGGGAATTAGTCTCCTCCCAAGCCATTTAGCTTCTTTAACTTTTGGACTCGTCACTCTGTTTTTTTTAGGATTGTGGCGGACTCTTGGGGACAGTCGACGCTTATAGTAAAACTAAAATCAAAATTCAAAGTTAAAATTAAAGCAATTGAAAGTTCAGTAATAAAAATGATATTAAACGTAGAATTCAATTATATTTGGGAAAATTTACCCGTTAATTTAAACGACCATTTAGAATTAATTAGTATTGGCCGACTTAATTTAATATCCAAACATAATCGAAATTAACTCAATGTAAAAGAAATAGTTTGTTTGTGGCTTTTCTACCTAAGGTAAATTTTATGATTTTTTTTTTGGTTTCGAAGTAGAAAGGTGTCATTTTTGCTGCACGCACTAGTCAAAACTTACATGAAAAAGCTAATTTAGCTTCGGTTTTATGAATAACCGGAAACAAAGCCGAAAAATCTATTTCATAGACAGAGACCTAACCAATATATCAGCTCTTAGCCGGTCACATGGTTTGATTTTCAACAGAAAAACAGAAGGTAAAGCTTTAATAAGGAGCACTAGTGGGAGAAAAGTGAATTTCAAATCACCTGAACTGAAAGTTTGTGGTTTTTATTTGTTCAATTCCAAAATGTTTAAAATGAGGAAAAAAACAACTTTCATCTTACCCTTCCAACGTTGAATGGGATCCCTTCTACCCTCTCTGGACTTCAGCCTGCAAAAATGTCAGAAACTAACAGGTCGGCCACTACCACACAAAACATAATATGCAAACATATTGATATCTCCTATTTGAAGTTGCAATTATATAGTACGAGAGATTCCTTCATCATCCTAGTCCCAGGGTGAACTGCAGGCTTGTGATAGGTGAAAATCATGTGTCAACAAAATTCATAATTACACATGTTCATAATAAATATAACAAATCACAGTGGTGAAAATGGTTATGGAGCTTTACAATTCAAGCAGCCAGCCAAAACTAATATATCTATGCACCATAAATATTTCATACAACTTTGGAAAACTACCTGAAATGTTGATCATGATCAGCTTGCACTCTGGAGTCCAACTAACTTTCAGGATGACCATGTTGACTGTTACCTAGCTCAGACCCGTGATCAATGTCAGCATTAAACTCCATATTTTGTCCATCGTCACAATCTGTCTCCATCTTTTTACCACCATCAATGCACAGAGGTTCGGCAATAAGATCAGAGCCCAATTCTAAGCCTGACTGATCCCCGGTTGTATGGAAAGCCACGGTTACAGCTCCTTCATCAGTTTGTTCCATGGTATCTTTTTTCTGCCTCTTCCATTTCTTCGTAGATGAAGTACCATCATCCTCGAAATCTTCTTCTTCTCTTTCTCTATGTAAATAAACCCACAATTTCCTCTCTCCATCGAATTGTACACAAGGATCACGTTCATAATGCAAACGGTCTAAGGCCCCACTAACAACCTGATTAACTTGTGCATCAGAGACATCTTCAACAATGTATTGAGAGTCTCTTATCAAAGTACAAACATCCGCACGAGTGCCGATACTTCCAGGCAATCTGGCAGCCGCATCTCTCACAATACAAAGAATCGTAACATGTGGTGGACGGTCACGTTTCAGCATAAAGTGATCTCGAGCCTTTGAAGTTGGCTTACCTCCACACCTTCGCAAGGGAGCAACGATTGATTTTTTGCCATCAACAGCTGTGTAAGAGAAGGCTCTGTCAGGAATAGAATACCTAAGAAGCTCCTCCCTTCGGAAATAAGCTCTCACTTCTTCAGAACTCGGGCTAATGGTGCTAAGGCTCTTCTGAGCTTTTAGATCTCTAAACCTTTCTTTATCATCTAAATTGTCTTGCATCAATTCAAGTGGTGGTGCAGGAAGACTCCCTATTTGTCGGAGAGTCTCCTGACCATTTTTTAGCCAATTTGCAAATGAATCAACCAACTTGACAAGCATTTTGTGGGGAAGACCCCAGGCTTCAGGTGATGTCACCTCCTCAATAGTCTCATGATCATTTGAGCTATGCACAACAGGACCAACCCAAGACCAACTTTTTGTGGACTTTTCATAGGCAACAAGTGCCTTCCAACCTTTTACTCCCAAAGGTGCTGTTTTTGATGAGAAAATTTTCAGAACGCCCCGAACTAAATCTTGAAGCGGTTCTTGCGTCTCAAGGATACATGGATCTCCAGGATTCACTGTCACACGACTAACAATCTCATGAACTGTTAGAGAAGGCACACTTGCTTGCACCGGATGGTCCAAATTATTGCTAACTGCATTTTCACGAGAAAGAATCCCATTCACACCACCTTCCTGCTGTCCATTCTGCTCCTCTCTAGGTTTGCTAACCTCCAAGGAAACTTCTGGAAGTGGACTAATCATTGCCAAGCGAACTGCAGAAAGAAGATGCACAATTGAGAACGAGAAACTGGTATGAACTGTGGGGGTAATCAACGTAAATGGCTTTTTTTGTGGCTTGGCTTCCTTCTCCACATCTAAGGCTCCTACTCCTGCACCATGAGCTTCAGAAGTTTCGATATCAAGAGTACCAGTATACACCTCTAGTTTCCGTTTTCCCTTCTTTAAGAAAAGGGAATCATCAGTTTGCTGCTGAAGTTTAGACTGCAGGTTACCATCTGCACCCCTTCCATCAACATGTGCCACATACTCCTTCCCCGTCCTCTTCTTTCCTTTCTTACCAGTTCTACCGAAGATTTTTTCATCTTTTAATGGTCCTGTCACAGGTGAAGCATCCTCATCAACAAGATAATCATGCAGATGCTTTGACTGAGACATAGACTGATCATAGGCAAGTTCACCTTTCTGCCTTTTCTCAGTAGGGTAGACTCTTGACAAGGACATCTTTAATCTGTCATCTTTGCCCAAGTCGTAAACCTGTTTCCTATCAACCTCGTCCAAAACATTAGAGGAAGAGTAATGTAAGGGACTGTTTTCATGCATCTTGCCCTTCTGCTTTCCTTTCAAATTATAGCTTTCAACTGGAACATGCACATTTTCCCGGGAGCTCTTCTTGGAGAAGCGAGTGATTCCATCAACAGTCCATCCATCCTCTATAGAATTTTTCACCAAGGATCTTGTCTTTTTAGAATCTAGCCCAGACTTCAATGAAGACAACCGAAAATCTTTTATGATGCCACTGGGGTAAGCCAATTTGCTTCCCGTTAGAGGATTGCTATCCTCATCCTCGTCAAATTGTTCAGATGAGTCGGATTCTGTTTCTTCATTTCGAAAAAATGCTCTACTACCTTTTGGAAGATCCATAAACGTTCCTCCATCTTGTACATAGTTCCCTCTAATCTTTTCCCGTGATGGTTTCCTTCTACTGTCAGACTGCAAGAATCGGTCATTCATCATTGGTGAAGAACTTTATGAGATCTAAAACCGATATCAGGAGACTCTCGCCCTGTTTTCCATTTCTTGCTCCTAATATTCTGATCACCAGATCTGGGTAAAGAATCCATAGAGAAGTCTTCTCCTCGGTTTTTATTCTGACAAAACATTTCAATGCCTTGAGATAAGTCGACTCGACTCCCTTTCAATGGAAATGGTGGATTCCAGCCTTTCAAAGATTTTTTCTGTTTCCCGACTGCAAATTGCAGATGGTTTTCTGAATACTTGGCCTTCTTGGCAAAATCACCGGTTGTTCTCGTGTTAGGCGGGTTTGAACTATACACTTTTTCCTCCAACAATTGACTCATATTCCTGTTCCTGTTCCTACCATAGGCCTGAAACTCCTGCTTTGAAGAAAAAGGCAAAGCCAAGGAACTATCACTAGCTAATTCTTCAGCTCTTAAACGGTCATATTTTTTCCCTGCTCTCAATGAACCGGATTTTCCCATGATGCCGTCACGCACAGCATTTCGGTCTCGTTGAATACCTGTTCCGAACATCGGGTCTTCAGCTTCATCATCCAACCTCATCCAATCCCTTCGCCTGTATACTGCGCCCGACTTATATTTCTGTCGAGGAAGAGTTCCCAGAAAATCATATGGCTCAGAATTCATATCCAAATCAGGGTAAACGCTGCTCCCGAACTCTTTTGCAGTAGGAAATTTTGACCCACCTGTTCTGAGTTTACCTTTTGGATTCAGCTTCCCATATTTTGCAGGTTCCAAAGCCATCAGCTGTCCTTGGGAAATGAATTCTAAATTCGGTTCAACCTCATAGTCAAAGTACCGAGCCATTTGCTGCGAAGCCTTCCGATCCTTAACCGTTTTGCTCCACAATCCATCACCCAAATCCTCTCTTTTGGAGGATTCAGAATCACCGTCTTCCAATTTCTCATGCATCAAACTCTTTTGACTTCTCATAATATTCAAACACGAAGCCGCTCCTCAATACTATATCCCCTACACTTGTTAACCCAAGCGTCCCTTATTTGACAAAGATTGACAACCATAGTATTCTGATGTTTCCTCAAATGATGGTAATGCTGCCGCTTCTGAAAGAAATTCAAGCCCTCTCGATAAAGTGCAACCCTTGGTTCACACAACCCTCCTTTGAGCATATCAAATAACTTCTTAATAGGGCTTCCAAAATGAAAATTATAACCCTTAAGAAGGTCATTCAATGTCCACATATATGTATCCTGATCCATGTCGGGTAATAACTTAGTAAGACTAAATCTTTCCTCATCGCTTAAACACTCATTCCACACATCAAGAGATAAAATATCTTTCAACCCAAGAAGGTCGTACAACTCATAAGGAACAGAACAAGTCCAGTTCCCAACTTGGCAAAATTCAGCCCCTGTTTCACCTAATTCCAGTAAATCATAGTCGTCCGAATCTGCCCCTGAATCAGCATCATCAAATCCACCACCATCATCATCACCATCAGAAACAACAACTGAGCTTTGACGTTGCAGCTCATTCTCATCACTTGACACAGTTGTCTCTCTACTACCAGGCGAAAACTCTGAATCAACCCGTGAAACCTTGAAGTTATTCTTCTCAATCGCCATCATAATATAAAACACCACATAAAAAACAAAAATCTAATCCTCAATTCAACCAAATGTTTATCAAAAAAATAATAATTTCAGCGTTTCGGAATATAGCGCCAACTCATCAAAGCCCTAACAGAAACATGGAAATAAAAGAAATTTCCAAAACCTGAAATAAAAAACAGCATAAAAACAAATAAAAGTAAATAAAAGAAATTCTCAAAACCTGAAATACAAAACAGCATAAAAAACAAATAAAACACAATATAAAAGAATGAAATTGAATTGAGGAAAGAAAATACCTGGCTATGAAGAATATCTGATGAGAAAATTGACAGAGCCGACGATTTGAGGATTTGGAAATTTCTTCGTTTTTCTAATCGAAGAAAATTAAGGAGCGAAGAAAGAAGGACATAGAATTGGGTTAGGAAACCTAAAGGGAATTAAAATAAAAATACAAAGAGACGGTGGAAGGGAAGGGAGGGTGAAGAAGACGGTGGTGACGTGGAAAGATGGGAGACGTCGGATGGAGGACTAGAGGTGAAAAGACGAAAAAGGACAGAAGGGTGAGGAGGTAGGGGAAGAAAGTAAGGGAGAAGGAGAGTGGAAAGGAAAGAGGGTGACTCAACTGTCCTCAACTCAGTGAGTTGAGTTCGCACGAAAGGAAGAGAGAAGAAAGTGCTCCATGGTTTAGGAAGTTTCGGGCCGTTGGATCTGTCCTCATTTTGACGGTACTTGCCTCGCCGATGCCGTTTGATACCCATTTTTTCTTATTCCACTTTTATCTTTTCCGGTCCAATAAATAGTCGTATAAGAATTTAAAATAAAACTAACCGCACATTAAACACACCTCAAAAATAATTATAAAAAGTAATTCTTCCAGTGTACTATTGGAATTATTGTTTATTTATTTATTTAAAAAAATTATATTAAATATCATAAATTTTTATTATTTATATTTTTAAGGCTTAAAATATAAAATATGTGTTTATGTTCGTTTTTCTAGTTTAGTGTCTAAAATTTATTTCGTTTTAATTTGATGTCTAACGTTTTATTCCGTGACTCAAAATGGATTCAGCCTTGACAGACAATTAAGTTTGATTGTTAACCCATTAAAATACAACCTAACATATTTTTTACTATTAAAAATGATTTCTGAAAATAAGAAATTATTTCGTTCCAGTTTAGTGCCTAACGTTTTTTTCTCTTTTTTCCTTCTTCACCCAAGAACCCAAAATTGAATCCAAGAACCCATTATTCTTTCTCTTTTTTCTTTGTTCCACTCCACACTCAAGAATTCACCCATTTGGGGTGGCTTTTGCTTTGTTCTTTCAGTTCATAACTTGTGTTTTTGTTTTTTGGTATTATTCATTCTTTCCATTTCTTCTTCATTTGTTTGTTAATTTCATTGGTGGGATTCTAAGGATTCATAATAAGTGAAATGAATTAGTTATGTGAGAAGTGAGATGAGTTTGAAATAGTTGTAAATGGCAAGATTGAAGATTATCAACTCATTTTTCTTTGGTTTCATTTTCTTATTTCTCTGCAACAATATTAAAAAGCTGAAGAATAACTTCATTGGCAAAAACCCAGACGAGAAGAAGAAATTCAGGAGAAATCGTACATGGTTTTGAGTGTTGGGTTGTCATTGTGTTGAGTTAAGATCAAAGGAGTAGAACAAAGGAAGAAGACGAAGAACAGTGGGTTCTTGAATTCAATTAGGGTTTTTGAATTCAATTTAAGGTTTTTGGGTGGAGAATGAGAAGAGAGTGAAAGAAATGTTAGTCACCAAACTGTAACGAAATAAATGTTAGGCACTAAATTGGAACAATATAATTTTTTATTTTCATAAATCCTTTTTAATATTTAAAAAATATGTCATGTGGCATTTTTAATGGGTTAACGACCAAACTTAACGGTCCGTCACGACTAGACCCATTTTGAGTCACAGAATGAAACGTTAAATACCAAACTGGAACGAAATAAACGTTATACACTAAACTGAAAAAACGAACATAGGTTGTGTATCTTTTTTATATTTAAGCCCTATTTTTAATAAATATAATCTAATAAAAAAATGATATATCATTCTATAAAATATTGCACATGTTATTGAAGGTGGAAAAGTATAAAATTCATGTAAGAAGTTCAAACCAAAAACCTTTGACAATAGGTGTTTTTAATGCCTTTCTAACCTCTAAAACATATCAGTAATGCATGTGCTTAATTCTTGTTTAGATAGAGAAGTAGGAAAAAACTCCAAGAGTAAGGGGAAGAAAAAATTTATCTTGGGTTGAGCTTTGACACTTCCAACAGCTTAGAAATCAAAGGTTACACACTTCTAACTCAACTCTACCACATGTATATCATTAGGTGTTGTCATAATGTCTCCCTCGGGAATTCGTTAGACTTAAAAAATTAATTCGAGGAAAGACGATAAAATTTAGGTTTGAAATAATTTGATTTTGGAGTCGCCATCAACCTTCAAATTAGGTAGGTTGAATACCTAAAATATTATTTTAATGAGTTCAGAAAAAATCATTAAAAGACGAAAAATAGTATGTGTTTTACCAAAAATTTAATATTAAGAGCTCGAGAGTCGATTATATGTGGGGAATGGTGAGCACCCCCACAACGCCCAGTGTAGACACCCGTTTTTGTCTGAGTCTACAAAAACATTTTATAATATTATATATATATATATATATATATATATTTATTATTATTATTAGTAATATTTATTATTTTATTATTTTTGCAGGCCCCACACTCAATAATCACGATTTAGTGAGATTAAAAAAACCAACGTATTTGAGTCCTATTGAAACACTAAACCGAAGCAATTTGAGTCCAATTAGGACTCTAAATCTAAGCTAAAAATAGGTTTCTTTATACTATAAATAGACTCAAGCATCAAGAGGAAATGACACAAAGAAAAACGTGGAATCAAAATCAGATGAGGGATGATATACGCCACTATGAAACAAAAAAATGAAAAAGAAAAGTTATTCTGGCCGTAGGATTGCTTGTGATCATCAGCTCTGATTGCTTTTTTTTCTTAGATCCATCGCTCCTCCATTTTTCTCATCTCCTCGTTTGTCTGTCATTTCAATTGAGCAATACTACAATGAAATGGTCTTGCCTTTAATCATTCATGATACTTTGAAAGCCGTTGTTGCTCAATACAATGCTAACCAGCTCATCACTCAGAGAGAGAATGTTAGTAAGGAAATTCGGAAGATTTTGACCAAGATGACAGCTAACTTCAATATTCAACTTGATGATGTGTATATTACAAGTCTGACTTTCGGGAAGGAATGCACTGCTGTAATTGAGGCTAAACAAATGGCTTTTGCTTTTTAACTTGTTTGTTAAAAACATAATAAGCCCACGTGAAGTAAGCCATGGGTTTATTCTTTATTTCTTTTTGTAATTTTTTTTATTTTTTATTTTTTTTATTTTTAATATTCATTTAATATTTTTTTATTATTTCTTATCTAACATTTTTGACTTTTTAAGGGTACGTTTTCCAATCAATTAGAGGTAAGTAGTTCGAATCGAATACTTTTAAATTTAAATTTTAAATTTTCGCAACTAAGGCAACGACAAATTAATTGGTACCGAAAGGGCGATTCAAGGGTGCTAATCCTTCCTTGACCGTAACCGACTCTCGAACCCGACACATTTCTGGTACAACGCAGATCAGGTAAGATGGTGTCCGATCTACCTAATATCGCTTTAAAATGATAGGTGGCGACTCTAACCCCACTCAATTCAAGTCGAAGCCCAATTCTGGGCCTACCTGAAAGAAGGTTCCGACACCCAGTTTGGTACTTAAACGATTATATGATGTCTAAATTTTGGAAAATTACAAACTCGAAAATATATTTAAACTATGATCCTTCTAATCATTCAAATTTATTTAAAAAGATGTCAATTTAAAAAAAAACTAAAAACAATGTTGTTTTCCAAATAACAATATGATAACAAATAATAAAAGCAATGAGCCTAAAATTAAAGAGCAAAATATTTTTATGGAGTAAAGTTGTTTATTCAACCCGAAAGATTGCAAATATTTTTTATAAGTAAAATCACATAATTTTATACGAACAATCCTTGAAAATGTACTTCCTTTATAATTAGAAGACTTTTTCATGGACCCCCCTCTCAAAATGGTGTTTCTTTAATTTTATGGATGATATAGTTCAAAAAAATATAGTATTATATTAAATTTTTTAGAAATGCTAAGATAAAAAATGCTTTTTGTGTGAACAAAATGCACTTCCATTGTAGTTGGAAGACTTTTCCATAGATTCTCCTCACAAAAAGACATTACCTTACATTTTTTATATCAAAAACAAAAACAAAACAAAACAAAATAAAAAATAAAACAAGATAAAAAATAATATAATAAAAATGTAAAACAAAGAAGACTACCGAATACAAAAAAAAACCTTTTGTGCGAAAAATCTTCGAAAAGACACTTTCCCTTGTAGTTGGGAGATGTCTTCATAAATTTCCCTCACAACAAGAATTTTTTTTTTCTATATATAACAAAAAAAATGATTTATGTAAAAAATAAAGTTTGAATAATATATATATATATATATATATATATGTGCGTAAAAGGGTAGTAATAATAAAGATAACCAAGTTCGATTTCGAATCTAAAATACGAGTCGAATATCGGTAGCCTACTAGCCTAAACAAGGGACTAACATGCAAACTTTCTAAACCAACATCCAAGATTAAAAATACTATCCAAATAAGAGGATAAATAAATAAGGTTGAAACGTAAATAGTGAAAAGTATAAGCACTAGATGTAAATATACCACAAGCAAGATCAGTGACTAAAATAAAATGAAGTGTAAGTTAATATGCTTAAATACAAATACAGAAAATAAAATGCTGAAAATTAAAAAAGGATTGAAATAAAATGCTGGAAAATTAAAGGGCAGAAAAATGAAATACTGGAATTTAAAGTGCTGTAAAATAAATAAAATAAAAAATAGAAATAAATTGTATAAATTTAAAAGTTAAGAGGTTATTTTTAACTGTTTAATCCGAACCATAAATAATGTAGATCGTCCCCAGGGCGGGTCACCGAGTTAGCGGGTTAGTTTGTGCAATAAAGTAAAGGTTAGCTAGTAAGAACGCTTGACATAATGAAGTACAATTTAAAAGTAGACTCGGAATGCACTGTCAAGATCTTTTGAACATAAAAAAAAGCCTTGTTCCCTACAATCAGAAATTTTGTGCCTATTGCCAAAGTATGACACTTTGCTTAAAAATCAACAGTAAAACTCTATAACTTTACTTGCATCACCAGTTGCAGCAGACACAAGTGCTAAAAGTGTCACCGCTGCAGTTTGGAAATCTGTCAAGATCTTGTATGCTGAATCATCCAATTTATCCTGAAATAAGAAACAAAAAAAGCATCACATGGCAATATTAAACTATTTAAACTAGAGCCCGATAAGGTTACAATATATGATTTATGCAACAATTTCATGCATATAGCCTTAAGCTAAACAGATCTAGGTGTTATTTTGTGTTCAATGCGTATCTTATAGATGAAGAGGCGTTGTGTTTGCTGCTAGTCATACTGATAATTACATTATAAAACCTTCTAATTTGCCATCATCAGATACAAAAGACATTGGCTACTTTGGGTTCAATACAAAAGTTTGTGGCATGCTGAATTAACAATATCCCAACAAAAGTTTCAGATTTTATCACTGTCCTTTGAATATCTAGGCTGTTTAAACTGACGGGGAAAAAAGCATATTTGAGAATGAAAATGGACAGAAATATTGCAAACAATGTGAAAAATAAAGGGAAAAGAATAAGTGTGGAAAGGAGAGCTTTATGGCACCATACCTTCAATCGAGTTACAGCAATGGAGATTGCCCATCCAGGGGCTTGAAGAGCTCTATTGTGAACCTATGAATAGCATCCATATTTGAATTTAGCAAAAGAATGTTAAAATGATGATTAGACATTCAGATATAGGTAATCCATAATTGGGTGCTCTATCTACCGACTTGTATGTAAAGTAGGGAAACAACTTTCGGCAGAAGAGAAACTGGATCCGTTTCAGCAGAAACTTGAGAAATCAATCCTGAAAACAACAAACAAGAACATCACGTGAGAAGCTCCATCATATAACATTTTAAGCTTTCTAGTAACTGCTACATCCAACATCTCACAACCTTGACAATAATATACCATTCCGTAAACTGATATGAGAAGATTAGAACAAACATAAACATATTTAAAGATTGATCATGTTTTGAGCTAGCAGATAAGCCACTGAATTTAGCATCCATATTTGAATTTAGCAAAAGAATGTTAAAATGATGATTAGACATTCAGATATAGGTAATCCATAATTGGGTGTTCTATCTACCGACTTGTATGTAAAGTAGGGAAACAACTTTCGGCAGAAGAGAAACTGGATCCGTTTCAGCAGAAACTTGAGAAATCAATCCTGAAAACAACAAACAAGAACATCACGTGAGAAGCTCCATCATATAACATTTTAAGCTTTCTAGTAACTGCTACATCCAACATCTCACAACCTTGACAATAATATACCATTCCGTAAACTGATATGAGAAGATTAGAACAAACATAAACATATTTAAAGATTGATCATGTTTTGAGCTAGCAGATAAGCCACTGAATCCAAGAGTAATCTTGAATTTTGATAGCAACGTAAGATGATTATGTACAAGCATGCCTTGATATGCCACCACAGGCCCAGCCTTCATAAAATATTGCTGCAAAGCTTTAAGAGAATAAAGGTTTTGCAACGTTATGGATACAGTGTGGCTTTACAAATCAATATAGTAGAGTAAGACTAACTTGTGGTATGAGTGCAAAAGAGTCCTTTCCAATTTTTTGTCAAGCTTTTTCAGGAGTAACCCACTGCAAAAATAGAGCATAGAATACTAACTTATTAAGTATATACGGCCAACGTAATTACCAACTTTTGGTAAAAGGGAAAAGCCCAAAGGCCACAAAATATGCCATGAAAAGCTTAACAGAAAGGACATAACCTCTCCTCGGCCAGGTCTCTCAGTGCAGTCATGAATGTCTCCACCCGCTGATGGATACAAAATCCAAAGTTACAATTCATGGAAATAAAACTTAAATAAATATAATAGGCAATACACGGAGAGTATCTGCTCTCCTTAAAAAAAATTGAGATGAATAAGTTAAGAGAAACAAGAACACAATGTTTTTGTAGTGATTATCATCAGAAATAGGCAAGTCTGTAGACACTAATTTTTCAATTTCATTAAAATTATTTTTAATTATTATTATTATTATATATATATATATATATATATATATTACAAGCCCAAAGGACCCGGAGGCCCATTTTACAAGCCCAAAACCCGAAGTCCGTTTACAATTCCAATCAGAAATGGCCTAACAGAAACCCTAAACCCAATTAGGGTTTCATTCTTCTCAGCCAGCCGCCAATGATCTCAGCCGTTGGATCTGAGAGATCCAACGGTCCACAGATGGTTCCAGCAAATGAAACCCTAGGGTTTTCCTAACCCTAGGTTATCATCCGCCGTTTCCAGAAGCCCCGCGCGGCGCCGCCTCATGTTTCCAGAAGAGCTCAGCTGCCACCTCCAGGTGTTCCACCCCGCTGTAGCCATGACATCACCGCCTCTTCGAAGACTCCAGAAACATCACGCCGGCCGTCCACGTTTCAGCTATGGGGTGAGTCACCACATAGTTTGGTGACTCACCAAAGGTTCCACTCTTTAACCAGTAAGAGAGGAGCACCGTGGTGGCTATAAAAGCCACTGTTACCTGCAAAATAAAGGAGGGGCAACAGAGACGAGCCACGAACTCACAACCAACAACAAAACAGAAAAGAAAAAAAAAGAGACAGAGAACAGAAAACAAAAAAAAAGAAAACGAAAGGAAGGGATAACCACAGCAAGCCAACACAGAACAACCCAACAGCCAAATATCGAAAGAAAAGAGAAGAGAGAAACTTACCGAGGAAACTGCAGTCATCGGAGCCTCCTCGTGCCGTCGGAAAGCCGAGAGTCAAAGGTAAAAAAAAAACTTTAGATCTAGGTCGATCTAAGGAGATTTAGGGTAAAAGGAGGTCGGATTTGGCCTTTAGGAGCTCAAATCCTTAATTTGGTGTAATTTGGTAATCTCCGGCCACCGGAGACGGCGGCCGGCGGCGGCGATCGGAGCCTGAACAAGGTGGCCAACGGTGGCCGGTTTCCCTCCGGCGAGGGAAACTTAGAGAGAAGCGAGAGAAAAAAATTTCTCTCGTTTGAGAGAGAGAAGGGAGAAAGGAGAATGAGAGAGCTGGCCCGAAGGGCCAGCCTTTTGGGGATTTATACCCCTCCTCAAACGACGTCGTTTTGGGAGGGGTTTATATGTAATTTCGTGCATGGCTAAACTCTTTCCGTAGCCATCCAAGTTTTATAATTATTCATTTTAGTCACTGAAATTAATTTCTGAACATTTTAATTCAGTTTTTGAATTTTATTTTATTATGTTTTAGTCCTTACCAGTATTAAATAATATATTTAGGTAAATATCAAATTTAGTCCCTTATAGTTTAGTATTTTTTATTTTAATCCCGTATTAATTAATTAGGTTAAATTACACTATTAACCATTATCTTTCATAATATTTCAAATTATTATCTTTATTTTTGATACTTTATATTTAGTTTTATAATTTTAATTTCTTTTATTTTGATCATTATTTAATTACAATATTATTTTGTTATCACTTTTATATTTTAATTATGGCTTTAATTATTTATTATTATCTTAGTCTTATAAATATATTTATATTAAATATTATAAAAATTATAATTTATTTAAATCATTTTTATGAAAAATTGTTACATTTTTAATATTTATTTATTAATATCGAAGAGAAGAGCTGTCTTAAAGCACCTAAAAGTTCTTTTCTGATATTCTTAAATAAATAAATATCATGTTTTTTATAAATTATATATATTAATTATTTTTTAGAAAAAATGTTTTTTTTAGTTATTTATTTATTAATATCGAAGAAATAGCTGTCTTAAAGCACCTAGAAGCCCTTTTCTGATATTTCTAAATAAATAAATATTTTATACATATTAATATATTTTCTTTAAATTATTTGAAATAACATAATTATGAATTAAATATATTTTGAATTTTTAAATTTCTAATAATAGAGACAATTTATAATTAAAAAGTACCAATTTTGGGCGTTGTAGGGGTGTTAATCCTTCCCTAAACGTAACCGACCACGAATCCCTTTTTATTATTAAAATAAAGAATTTTTGGTTATAAACGCATATCAGTTCATCTTTTAACTGATGTTTTCTTAAAAACTCTGTTAAAAAATAATTCTTAGGTATTCGACCTACCTGACCCAAAAGGCCGATGACGACTCCCAAATTATTTTCAAAACCATTTATTCACATCAATTTTCCCGTCAAGTAAAATATTTCGTGCCCGGACGAAAACCGGTTACGACAGCTTGGCGACTCCACTGGGGACCTTGTCAAACTTTAAAATCAATTATAAATTGTCTCTATTAATTAGAAATTAAAAATTCATTTATTTAATTTTTAATTCTTTTCTTTCAAATTTTTATTATTTTTATATTAATATTGGTTTTTTTATTCAGGTATTAATTATTTCATTTATCTGTTAGAGGTTTGAACATTTCTCCTCACACACAACACTTGCATTGCATAACATAAAGCTCTATAATTGAGTTTGTCCCTTTTAAGTGGGAGTGAAAGCGACGTCTTCGTGAGAATTTATTCTCCGTGTCAGACCTAGCAAGTAACTTTCGGGGTTCATATGCTCTATGTCTTCGTGAGAATTTATTCTCCGTGTAAGGTATAGAGAAATGTGTCCCCTCGAATTGAACTCGATCCGTTTAAGTCTGTAATGGACTAGGATTGAGGGTTGACAGCCCAAGGGGGCATCAACAAGGACAATTCGAGTACCTTTACTCCTAGAACTGAAACTCTGCATATAATAAACCCTAGAAATTCACCTAATCTAAGACAATATTGAACCTCTGTTCATAGGTGTACACAAATAAGAAATAAGCTCTAGCTTTTAATTTATTTAATTTATTATTATTTTTTCTCCCTGAATAAATGCATGCGAACTAGAAATCATGCGGTTAGGTTAATTTTTCCAAACAAAGCATGGAACTAGAAAGCATGAGGTTAGGATTTATTATATACCATGATAAATAAATTTTTTCTTTCAATTAGTTGGTATTAACCATTTTATTTTTTCTTATTTTCCCATGTATGTTATTTTTGCTCTAATTTGTTTAAATTATTTTCTTTTGTTTGCATTGCATGATCATGACCAAAAGGTGTTAACTGAAAAGACTGTTCATCAAATTAGAAAGAAATCATAAATGGACAAAAAGTTCTATGATCAAACAAAATATGATGCGGCCAAGAAAAGACATCCTGAGGGAACTCTGAAGATAGAGAAGAGCTATGCACCCAAAGATTGTATGCCCATTGAAGAGCAAAAGGAGATACGAGAAATAAGAGAGCAGATGTCCAAAATGATGGATAGAATATCTGTTTTGGCCAAAAGAGAATAGATTCCTGCACAGAAAGAGAGAAAGCTTAATGAAGATAATCCTGCAATTTCATATATGCAAGGGACTTCGGATCTTAACCAATTGGAGAAATTACAGACAGTCATCATTCGTATTTACCAATCGTCTGGAGATACCAAAGAAATGGTGACGACTGTACAAGCTCCCAGAGAAGAGAAGAAATCATGTAATCTGAAATCATCGAAGTTTAGTATGCTCCCGATATCTAAAACTCAGGTTCAATTCAAGACAAAAGGCGGTTCTCATATTGATGCTATACCTATATCATATAAAGATTTGTATGAAAAGTTACTTTAAGCACGAGAAATAGCTCCATATTACATAAAACCGTTCCAACCTCCGTATCCAAATTGGTATGACATCAACGTTCATTGTGAATATCATGTCGGAGCTCAAGGACATACCATCGAGAATTGTCTTGCCTTCAAACGCCGAGTCCAAAGTCTTTTGGATCATGGAACCTTACAATTTATGGTAAATGATCGACCTAGTTTGGTAACCAAGGGTCCTGATGGATTAATACCAAAAGTCTTCAAAGGTAAGAATATCAGTAGGGGCGCCCAGAGAGAAGAAGATTTGCTGAGGTTTGAAGCTCAAATACGTCATTTGAAGATTGAAAACGATAAATTGAGCACCAAAATGAAAACCATGCATGAAGATTTTCAGAAGATCAGTCAAGCCTTTCGAAATGCTGGCATAGGAAACACCCCAGAAGAGTGGATCACAGGGGTCACCAAGCTGAAAAAGAACTGCAACATATATGAAGATCTTGTTCAAGAACTTCTTGGACAGAAAGGTTCTCTTACAAGGGAAAATGAGCAACTCCGAGAAGTGACACAGAAGATGAAAAAGAATGTCATGGAAGAAGTTGCAGTCCAGACAAGCAATATGGTTCTTAAATGATAGATTTAGCTGACCTTACAAGGAGATGAAGCAGACTGAATACTCAACTTTTGAGCATGAATGGAAACTAACTGGGCTTTGGAGAAGTTAGAAATGAAAGATATCCCTATATGTAAAGTTTTGTTTGATGTACCGAAACTTTTGTGTTCAATGAAATCTGTTCTAAGATGATCACTCTTGAGAAACACCTTTTCATACATGCATTTTCAGTTTGCATCTTTGCATTTTTCATTTTGCATTCATACTTTTATGTTTGCCTTTGAATTGCACATTTTGCATTCTTATTTTTCCATTTATGCATTTTTCACATTTTTATTTAAGTATTGTTATGTACTTTAATTATAAAAACATATAAATAATTCATGAAAGGTTTCTGTAACAGTAAAAACCAAGATCATTCATTTATTTTACTGTACCATCATCATGAAAACAATGGAGCAATCTTATGAGGGACTACAATATAAGTGGCCAGAACAATTGACAGGGTTACCTCCGGATATAAGGAAAGAAACATCAGATTCAGTACCAGATGGATCAAATCAAATTATTCAGTATGTGACATCTGATAAAGAAGAGATATTTGATAAAGAGCAACCATGCTGTCAGATTGAAGAATCGAAAATGGTAAAACCCTCTGGGGCATCCCAATTGAACCCAAAGAATAGCCTTGTTCATTATTCGCAATATAAGGAAAGATTCAAGAAGATGGATGAAGTAATCAAAAATATGAAATGTGTTGATACTTCCCACAAAGAATTAGAAGCAAGAGAGCTTAGCTTGGTTCCAGATTTGATTATTCCCCATGAATTCAAAATGCCTGATTTTGAGAAATATGATGGCACAAGTTGTCCCCTAATCCACCTGAGAATGTTTTGCAGAAAAATGGGAGGATATTTAAATTCTGAT